CATAGCCCTTTTATACGACCAACACTCTATTAATCTCATTTTTAATTGGAAAACATTATGAGATATGAAAATAAAGGATTAAAATAAAGAATACAATACATTTCAAATCAAATAAGAAAGACCCAAATGAAGAACACACTAATAAAACCAAGAAAGACCAAATCGATGAAGAAAGACCCAACCAGATTACGATGTCACGAACACAAAATAAAAGGTGTAAAGAAAAACTTGCCTTCTTCATTTGTCGGAGTCAATGTTGAAAGAACCGCAACTGATGATCGAATTTTATATAAAAGTATACAAATGAAAATGGATCATGGTTCATGAATCACAAATATCATTTTGAATAGGAGATTTTATAATTTTGGATGGGGATACATGATTTGTAATATGGTGTTTTGTGATTAAGAGATTGTAACAGAGAATTCTCAGGTTTTGTACATTCGGATGGTGATGAATGGTTTGTGAGTCACAAATTTCGTTTTGAATTAGAGCATTCATAGAGATGAAGATATTTGATAGTTAGGGTTCATGCAAATCGGGTTAGGGTTCAATTTTGATTTTAACGAGTAAGTTGCATCCAACTAGGTTTGGGCCTTTTAAAGGTCGTTCTACTAACATGCTTATATACCCTTTTTTATTTATATTTCTTTTATTTTGATAACATTTGTTTTTTTTTCCGGTGGAGTGATAACAGTTGTTATTTGAAGCAAATTTGGTTTCTTGTTTGGAAAGCTTTGAAGTATGATACCAAAATTTATGTAGGGTAAGCATGGTTATATTAATATGGGATGATTTTATGAACCAAGCTAATTTATTTTTTTAATTGAATTGATTTTATTTTTTGGTAACTGGTTCAGATTTAGAAACAAATTTAAATTGTTTAAAACCTGCTAAAAAACCAATTTTTAACCACTAAATTGATTCATAAATGATTTTGTCTTATAACCAATTTATATTAATTTTTTTCAAAAACCAAATATCTACACATATTGCTTAAGCATGAATTTTTTGTGGAGTTGATGCACTCAAGATGAAGAATATAAAATGCAAGAGTTTTGATGATAACAAACACGCATAGAAAGAAGACTTCAAAGCATTACAACTTGGAACAATTAAAAAGAAGTCTAAAAGGACAATCATCCAAGTCAATATGTGTGAAGTCCATCAAGACAATTGACAAAACTCAAAAGATTCAAGCTATAATGGAAGAACCTAAGTCCAACAGCACAAGTAGTATATTTATAGGACTTAGACTCAAATTTAAAGGTAGCTGATCAAAATTGCATGAATGAAATGGAAGTGAACATGGATTTCAAATTGCATAATTCATAACTTTCAAATTGCATAATGCATAATTCCGAAGTCAAGAAAATGCTTTTGCGAAAGTTTGGAGGCATTGGAATCCAAGTTAGGCCAATTTGGACTACATTATTTGCTGCTATCGTGAAGGGATTCAAATCTCTCGAAAAGGATTCGAATCCTTACTAGCCATTAAGCCTTGTAAGACTATATTTTGGGGGAAAATTATATATACTCTAACTATTTTTAATCACTATTCCATTTATCATTGAACTTTAACTGATTGATTTCAATGCACCTATTCTCATTTCATTCACTGATTCATCCCCTTGATCATCTATTACCTTTGAGCTTTATTCTTTAAATTCATCACTACCAATAGGGCTTCAAGTTGTATCATTTGTACTTTGAGAGTACTTAGCCATTGTTAAACAATTCCTTCTTGTAAACTTGAGTTGAAAATGTTGTGAGACCCATTAAGTTAGAAAGGTAGCCAAATACCTAGGAAAATTCAGAGTAAAGTGTAGGGTTGCTAGGTACCCGTAAACTTGGTAGATTATAAATGTTTGTCAAGCACCTGTGAAATATGATTGTTAGTGAAACAGTTGATCGAGCAACTTCAATCCGGGCATAGGTCATAAGTTGCGGTGATCGAACCATGATACATCTAGTTTGTAATTTCTCTAACCTTCAACTCTTTATTTCAATCATTAGATTGTTGCTTGTTCACTAGTTCATCTATTGATCACACATTTATCTTTTTACTTAGAATTAATTGTGCTAAATCAAAGATTGAAGAAATATTTTTTCAAAATCAAATGAGACATTTTGCGAAAAGATTTTATAAAACTCACTTCACCCCTTGAGTTTTGAAGCGACATGTCTAACAATTTTTCCATAATTACATATCATGATAAATAAATCAAATTCATAATAAACTTAAAATATCGCAAGCAATGTTCTCAACTGCTTACACAAAGTAATTTTCTCAAATACATATCGATTATGTGAAATTCATTTTACCATCACATAAAATAACTAATACCTTGTATATTGGAATCATTTTTGTTCCCTCAAGATTTTCCTTTAAAACATATTCAAATAATATTCCCAAATGTCTCAGTATATAAGCAATGTGGCTCCGACAAACGACAAGTGCAACAATTGCTCAAGTAATAAAGTGAAAAGAAAGTATCATTCCCACAAAGATTATGTCCACCACTATATCACAAGATTGATTATATTTGATTGATTCAAATGGTTTTGAAAGAGAGGATTATAAATATCTTCAAGAAAGTAACATAAAAAATAAAATAATAAGATCTAATGAGAAAAATAATTACAAACAATGAAACAAGATGTAAGTTGGGATTTCAACTTCCCTCAATCTACTTTTGTTATGGACTGCACATAGTTAAGACATAATCCTTGCTTAATCCACACTTGCTTTCATGTACACAACATCCTTCTTTGTGTTGCAAATTGAATTTATAAAAATAGTCACAATTTGATCTCTCAATGGAATGACCATTCTAACCAATAAAGACTTTGTTAGGCTACCCATTGAAGTTTTACTTCATAAACCATAAAGAACAAAACACTCTTGACTTTAACCGGGTTGCATATGTGTGACATCAAATTATCACACATCATACATTCACATGGTGATATATCCAACATTAAGTGATGCACTTATAATTGGCCCGCTGTGTACTATACAACCAATTAACAGATTGTTTCAAGAAATTTGAAGTCAAACAAAATTATAACACATTAAACATTGCTCACATGTCCAGAGAAATGACACCGTGAAATCTAACACAGTACAATAAAATCAAAGTCTAAATGATTGTAATATGTTCGACAAAAGAAATGGAAAACAACAAATTTGACATGATTTAAGATCAAAGATTTGATATGTATTTTGAATTATTTAACTGTAATTTATTATATACATTTTTAGAAATTTTCTTTATTTTTAGGAATTTAAACTTTGAATTGATTTATAATTAGTTTATAAAAAGTGCTTAAGATCTTTAGTGTAAGAGTGAAATATTTTGTTATTTTGATAAATATAATTAAGAACTAGATAATTTCTCTTTTATCAAAGTCAAGCTCTCTGTTTATCCATTTTTCAACGCGTCTTTGACATCATTAAGGTATGCATGCACAATGCTACCAATTTAACATATAACATTGAGATCAATCTATGGGTGCATTTTTCATAAAATCATTAAGAATAACAAGTGTTATATCCAATCTTAATAGTTAATTTATTTGTATTTAACGACTCTAATTTATTAGTCACGTGAGTTATTAGATATAAATTGGATTAATGATTAAGATTGATAGTGTAACTTAAACTAATGTAAACTAATTTTATCGTGTGTGTATATATATATATATATATATATATAAGTTTAATTTAATTAAAAAATTAAAAAATGAGCTAGGCATTTTTTATAAATTAAATAAAAGCAAACCTGCATACCAAAATAAATAAATAAAAGCAAACCAAAAAATAATTTTATATTTTATTTGTAAAAAAAGATAATTCGTATATTTTTTTGAGAGGGTGAGATTACAACATACACAAGATAATTTAGAGGTAAAAGAGGAAATTAATAATTATGATAATGATGATAAAATGTTAAAATTGATTCAATGGAATACCTAACATTAAGAGATTTGATATTCCCTTCAAATAAAATGATTTCACTCTAATTGGATCCCTAAAGATTAGTATTATGCAATTTATCTGATTTGAAAACATAATTAAAATAAAATGAAGTAATTCCAAGTCCAACATGATGGAAGATGTTTCCTTCAAAGCTTGACCCATCTCTTCATGCGTTGCATACGCTGGTGACGCTCTCGTCGATAGCGCAAATACATACCGACCCATCTCAAAAGTCAAACACGGCCATTATATTATCCACCGGTTGATCCAAAAATTAACATCATGCAATCATCCTATTTATTACTTCTCAAGGTCAATCGTGTAATTTCAGTTAAGCAACATTAAATTTAATCTTTCCCGTGAACTTATTATTCCCTCTCACTCTCTTTTTCTGGTTGCTTTTGTCTTCTCACAACCTAAAAAAGCAAAATCCACCTCCAATTAGCAATTACAACCTTGAAATTAGTGTCACAAAGTTTTTTTTTTTTTTTTTTGAGTTACCCAACTCTAATTACCTCTTTGAGGTGAGTTGGCTCCCTCCGGTATGCCCACAAGCTTCGACTCTTTGAGCCGGGCTATGAGACTAATCTGGAGTGCGGGGTTAGTGATGGGCTAAAGGTTCAACCCCCTCCTCAAGAATACATTCAGCGGAAATCAAACACATATTCAACTCCACTAACTCAGCGCCAAAGAACCAACTGAACTGCACCCATTGGATGTCACAATATTTTCTTAACCACAATATTTAGCCACCAAGTAGAAATACTGTGGTCCATGTGTAACCTACAACTCACTCTCTCCTACCTCACATCATAGCCGTTAAAAAGCGGGACCCACAAAACCATATCCAAGTAGATTCAATAATAATCCACAGTATATCATCTTTAATCTTTGAACAATAATCATTAAGAGATACGGTGGAGTTGGTGCGCACCTGCATCGGTTGTGATAAGGCTCAGCAGCACGGTGACAGCTGTCCCCGTCCCTTGTTCACGAGTCAACTAATCAAAGAAGATTTATTATTAGAGTAGTTAAATTCCCAACGGTGGAGTGTTACTGCAAAGTGCAGACACGTCCAAGCATTCTCTCTCTCTCTCTCTTCTCTCTCTCTAGAAAAGCAGGGATGTGAGAGAGAGAAGAAGAAGAAAAAGCAAAGATGCCAAATACCACAATGTTTAGATTTCTTCTGCTATGGATGCTTTTCCTCTGCTTTGCTTTTACTGTGTGGGCAGCTCAACGAGGTAAGCTTCGTTTTGGTGGTGATGCTCTTTTATCGTATTCATGTACATTGGAGTTGATAAGTAGATTCATGCATAAGGATTTTGAGTTTGGATTTGTTTGAAATTTCACTTTGTTTTGCTTTCAATTTAGTTATTTAAGGAAAAATGCGTGCACATCGCTGGGTGGAATTCATGCTTGAATCTGAGTAATGTTGGGGTATATGTGACTCCATCTGGCGCCTCAGAAATTGCTTAATAGATTCTCTCTTTTTTTAATTTTTTTTGGGTTTAAAAAAGATAAGGCCATTGAATTTAAAAAAAGAACAGGAAAATACGAAGATAACATCAATTAAGTAATCTCTACAACTTAGTATTTTACTTATAGTGAAGGGTTAATCAAGTTTGGATGTCTCATGGAAGACACTTCTCTTTAGTAGAAAACTTTGATATTAAGAATATTAGAAGTACTCAGCTTGTCAAACTCTTGAACAAAAACTTAGTTTATCCCTGTTAAGAACCCTGAGGTCACCACCCCAAAAGCTAGCTCAAAGGGTGGGAGTGCCCAAGGCCTTATAAACCTCACATTAGTTGCCCATACAACCAATGTGGGACTATATTTCTCAACAATCCCCTTTTTTGTTATACACACCATTCTCAATATGAACAGGTACCGTATTGAAATTTCTTGAGCTCGCTCTGTGCCTGCTTATCATGATTCTTAAAACTTGCTTTATTGGGGACCTATTGCACGGACTGTTGCATTTAATTGAACAACATCTCAGGGATGTGATGAAATTATGCTGTGTGTGTGTGTGTGTGTGTGATATATTGACAACAATCTACAAAATGCATGTTGAAATTTACAGCAAGAGCTTGCTGCATTGTTGTTGCTATTTTATTGGCGAGTTTTAGTGTTAACGAAACCGGTGTGATTGATTGCGAATACCAAAGGATTAGGATTTTCATAATTTTGATATTTTTTATATCCCTTTGATTTGCTTCAAATTTCTGAAACTTCACATTCATTGCAGGGCCGTTTGCTATGCGCATAAGCTGTGGGGCTCGGCAGAATGTTCAAACAAAACCAACCACTACCCTTTGGTATAAAGACTTTGGATATACTGGAGGCATACCCGCTAACGCATCTAAAACAAGCTACATTTCCCCTCCTCTCACAACTCTTCGCTATTTCCCTTTGTCTGAAGGTCCTTCAAATTGCTACCACATTAATGGAGTGCCAAAGGGGCACTACTCAGTCAGGATCTTTTTTGCACTTGTCGCACAAGCTAGAGCTACCGATGAACCTCTATTTGACATCTCTATTCAAGGCACTCAAATATATTCTTTGAAATCAGGTTGGACCGATCAGGATGATCAAGCATTTACCCAAGCTCAAGTGTTTCTTATGGATAGTTCTGTCTCAATCTGTTTCCATAGCACGGGTCATGGAGATCCAGCAATCCTTTCAATTGAGATTCTTCAAATTGATGATAAAGCTTATTATTTTGCGCCTGGATGGAGTCAAGGGATAATACTTAGGACAGTTAAAAGACTTAGTTGTGGTTTTGGGCAGTCAAAATTTGGCGTAGATTATGGTGCGGATCCCCTGGGTGGGGACAGATTTTGGCAGCATACTAAAACTTTTGGTCAGGATTCTGATAGACCTAGATCCGTTGAAACTAGAATCAAACAGGCTTCACTTCCACCAAACTTTTATCCAGAAACTCTTTATCGATCAGCACTTGTTAGTACTAGTAGCCAGCCTGATTTAACATATACATTGGATGTGGATCCCAACAAAAACTATTCTATTTGGTTACATTTTGCAGAGATTGATAATTCAGTGACTGCCATAGGTCAAAGGGTCTTTGACATTATGATAAATGGTGATGTTGCTTTTAAAGATGTTGACATTGTGAAATTGAGTGGGGGTCCTTATACCGCCCTTGTGCTTAATACAACTGTTACTGTTAATGGGAGGACTTTGACAATAACTTTGAATCCAAAAGAGGGTAGTCTTGCCATAATCAATGCCATTGAGATATTGGAGGTTATAATGGTTGAGTCAAATACTTTATCAGATGAAGGTATATATGTCAATCCCTACTAATGTTATATTTTTCTAAGGTAGATTATACTTATAACCTTTTTTTTCTTATAACCACTTTGTTATTGTTAGATCAAAATCAAATCAATGGCTCTTACTTGATGTTATTTTATAACCGTTGATTTGATTTTGATCCAACAATAAAGAAAATGGTTGTAAAAAAGAGAGGTTATAACTTATAAGTATAACCTCTCCTATTTTTCTAACATGATTTTTTTTTGGTTACAACATGAATTTTCGTCCTAGTGATGTGTGATATTTATTATATAATCAAATGAAATGTGGGTTGAATTTGGAGGAGAGTGTAATGATTTCATAATACCCACTATATACACGCAATCTGTATTTGTTTTAAGTTTTTGGCAAATGAGCAATAACATATTATTGACATTCTCAGGAACTTATTAATGATGCAGAATTATACAATTTCTGGCTTCTATTTTCCCTTATTAAATAACACAACTCAAGATACTCTATTATTTGGGTCTATGGCTCTTTATGAATACAACATGGGATCGGTTTTGTGCTGGTACTTGCTACTTTTACATGCACTATCATACTTCTTGGGTCTCTTTGTTTCGGCACTTTTCCTTAACTGATTGCTTGTTGCTCTTGCTTCCTCTTCCTATCAGAGGTGACATTCAGGCTTAGTATTGATTGGTTACTTTATGATACTGTTACATTTACTTGTCCTCTGATTTTATGTACTATTAATGGTAGCAAATGTGATTTCTGGTAATCTAAATGCATGTAAAATTTTTGCTAGTTGATCATTGTTCTTTTACTCTAGTTAGGGCTTTACAAACATTAAAGAAGGCTTTGGGGCTTCCTCCCAGGTTTGGGTGGAATGGTGATCCATGTGTTCCTCAACAACATCCATGGACTGGAGCAGATTGCCAATTAGACAAAAGTAGCAGCAAATGGGTCATTGATGGACTGTAATTTCTTATTATCCTTATTCTAAATATTTGATTGTGTGGTAGCATTTAAATCCGTCTTTCTCTTGTTAAGAGTTTGAAGCCTTTGGCTATAAACATATTTTTTCACTCATTTGGGAATTGCATGCTTTCTGAAATCAACCTTTTTATTTTCCTTATTTGAGGGAGTAGCCCTTATATTGACCCTCTCCTTTCTCAAATTTCCTTGGGCCCAGATTGTATTCAAAACAAACTTATAACTCCACCCTGCACTTAGCAAAGATATTGGTGCCACTAGGGTAAAAGTCAGTGTCTTTTGCAGTGAAAGCTGTATTGAATATTTAATCTCAATATATGGCTTACTTGGTGATGTATCTGTTGATGAACAGTGGTCTTGACAATCAAGGTCTGAAGGGTTTCTTGCCGAATGACATATCCAGACTGCATAATCTACAAAACCTGTGAGTTGTAAATAGTTTCCTTTCAGACGAACATTAATATTTATGTCAATGTATGGATATATGAATAATGTTTGGTATATTGATAATAAAATAAAATCCTACTTCTGTAGGCATAAGTACTGATATTTGAATAATTTGTCTGACCTTTTTAGTTTTCCTTTTTTTGTTCACTATTCCCTAAGAAATAGAAAAAAAATAGTACGTTCATTCGCCTATTTGTTATGCTTATTTTACTTGTTCATCACAGAAACCTAAGTGGAAACAGCATTCATGGGGCTATTCCTTCCGCACTTGGAACAATAACTAGCTTGCAAGTGCTGTAAGTGACTTCTTGTTCTTGCTCTTCTTATTTTCTTAGTTCATAAAATATATGGTACAATGCATGTGATTCTCATCCTCAGCACAGGTGTGTTGGGAAATGATGTCTGCTCCAATCCTGTCTTCAATTCTTTATGTGAACTAATCCCTGGTTCTAGAGGAATAATGTAAAGAACCTTGGGATACACCACCCCAAAAGCTAGCTCAAAGGTTGGGAGTGCCCAAGACCTTATAAACTCCACATTAGTTGCACATACAACCAATGTGGGACTATATATCTCAACACGCCCCCTCACACGAGAGCCCATTGGGCTTGAAGAGTGGACAATGCAACAGGCCCAGCTTACCTGTGCTAAGAAACGCCACAAGAGAAAGTGGGGGGCGGCGAGGCTCTGATACCATGTAAAGAACCTTGGGATACACCACCCCAAAAGCTAGCTCTGATACCATGTTAAGAACCTTGAGGTCACCACCCCAAAAGCTAGCTCATAGGGTGAGAGTGCTCAAGACCTTATAAACTCCACATTAGTTGCACATACAACCAATGTGAGACTATATATCTCAACAAATAAGAAAGTATGAAATCCTAAAATTTTAAAGCATTAGCAAGATCTAAGGGACAAGATATATGAAACATGAACTTGTATAGTTGTATATGTAGTTAGGGGTGTTTGCAGAATTTGGATCTGTTTTAAGGGAAAAGGATAACTGATCCATCTAATTGATTTTCTTATTATATCATTCAATCGGTTTGGTTCAAATTGTAAATTCAATCTAAATCAGTTTCAGTTGGATTGGTTTTTCAGATTTTTGTTTGAATTTTTTTAATATATAAATTCATCAAAGTACAGAAATATAATTTCATGAAAAGACATCAAAACACAAATCCAAATTCTAAATTAATTGTCAATCTTACAATATATGTTCAAATCCAAGAAAGGGAATTAAGTTTGGCTGGAAGAATAATAAGAATGTTCTAAATAAGTATCGATAATATGGAAATTTCTTAGGTGAAATATTATTTTAAAAATATATGTATAAAATTTTGATTCGATTTGGACTGGATTGGTTTGAAAATTTGGATCTAAAAACCGATTCAATCCAATTTAATTTTTTGATTTATTCAGTTTTGATTGGATCCGTTTGGTTTTGAATGCCCCTAAAGTAGTTTTTTTTGCAAGATATATTTGTTACTCCCTGGTCTTCGTATTTCCTAATTGGATTGAGTGCATGTGTCTTTCCAAAACTATATATCATAGTAACACCTCTAAAATTAAAAACATAAAAAAAGTAAAACGGAAACTTTTCCACTTATGTAATATGTTTGTAACGGTGGAACTTTATTGATAGAATAGATGGTGTTAGAAAAGTATGATATAAAAACAATTAATATGTCCTTCACCAAATGGTCATGAGTTTGATCCTCACAACTCCTGATTATTTACTAAATAATTAAATATTGTGGTGTTTCTTAGTACAGGTACGTGAGCCTGTGCATTATCCACCCTTTAAGTTCAATGTACTCTTGTGTGAAGGGGCATGTTAGAGAAGTATGATATAAAACTTTTAATGTGACCTTCATCTAACAATTTGAACTTTTGGGTTGAATTTGTTACTTAATAGATGACATTATAGTGAATAATCCATATTGCAAAATCACTCTGATTTGTAAAAGCTAAGGGATAAATATACATAAAAAGTTCACAAAGAAAAGGAGTCATATATCTTATTAAGGTTAATATTTGTGGTCAATATTGCTTTAGTTCTAAATAATGAAAGGTCGATCAAGTTGTACAACTTGGCAATGTTGAATTTGTACTTCAGTGACTAGTAGAACTTAGATGACTCACCATCTTCATGCTTTGATTAAACCACTTGAGATTAGCTTCACTCTTAGATTACTGAAAGTTGTGAATTATTGCTTTGGCTCTCATGGTGATATCATTTCTGAATGCCATGTACACATGCAGTGACCTGTCCTACAACTTTTTCAATGGATCAATTCCTGAAAGCCTTGGACAATTGACGTTGTTACGAAGACTGTAAGATTCCTTAGTGTTTAACTTAGCCATAAGACAAATAAGGAGACAAGAAGTCTGTTTTAAAATGTCTTCATGCAGGAACCTTAATGGCAACTTCCTGTCTGGAAGGGTCCCAGCAACTCTAGGAGGAAGACTTTTGCACAGAGCTAGCTTCAAGTATGTTGTCAATGATTAAACACTTCAATAAACAAAGAATATTTATATGCAATGAGAGGATAACCATATCTATATGCTATTTCTCAACCTTCTTTGTGATTAAGGTTGCTAAATCTACACTTGTGGATGGCTGCAGTTTTACTGATAATGCAGGTCTGTGTGGTATACCTGGATTACCTACATGCGGACCTCACCTTTCTGCCGGTGCTAAAGTTGGTATTGGGTTAGGTGCTTTTTTTACATTTCTACTGCTTATTGTCTGTTCAGTTTGCTGGTGGAAAAGGCGCCAGAATATCCTACGGGCTCAGCAAATTGCGGGTAAGGATTTTAATATTTGCGGGTTATAGTTATCTTAATACGCTGCAAATTTATTGGGTTGAGCTTACACCAGTTTGCCCCTATCCGATATATATATATATATATATATATATATATATATATATATATATATATATATATATATATATATATATATATAAAGGAAGGATATTCTTACTGCCAAAATTTTTTACTACTAACTTACTACCTATCTAATCACCATTGAATTAAAGAGAGAAAATGCTAAAAAGTTTTTGGAAAAAGAGAAAATATTAATCCAATGGTGATTAGATAGGTAGTGAGTTGGTAGTAGAAGATTTTGGTAGTAAGAATATCTCTCCTTATATATATATATATATGGGTACACGGCCAACGTTTTATATGGAATCATAATTAGTAATTAGTAATATATTGTATTCTTATTGGCCTGTCCCGCAACCTGAATATTCCTTTTTTCACTCTCTGTACAACCCTCTTGTTTTATCCCAAAAAAATGATCATGCATTACGTGAGTCAAGTAGCCCAGAATTTACTTAACTCTTGAATGTGGAAAAACATTGACACTATTCTCCCAGGATATCAACTCAACTCTAGAGAAATTTGAAGAAAATTTGTTTCTCCAAATTGGGTTGAATTAGGGAAAATAGTTAAATTCCCGAACTTAACCTTGCTAAGCACTAAGAATTTATCATGAATTAAAATTTATACTCTTGGTTTTCTTTTGTAGCGAGGGCAGCTCCATATGCAAAAGCAAGGACCCATTTTTCACGTGACATCCAGATGACAAGGCATAATAATTATGGCAATGCTCACACTGCTGCGGAGAATGGGCCTATCTTGCTTTCATGATAACATCCCATTGTTCTGGTATCTTTCGAAGACTATCCCAGCATTTTTTTAATTGAAGAGTCCTATTTAAGTGGCTTGAATGGCAGGGTAATATGATCTTCTGATGGCTGTACCCCATAGTGTGCTTCCCCAAATATTGACAAAGTTCCTTGAGCCCATTGAATCACTTACAAGCTGAGAACCCTCCTAATTTGTAAATCAGTAAATTTTGTACATTACCATGTTTACGTTTTTATTACCCCCTCTATGTTTGAACTTCTATACAGATTCTTTTTTTCATCTATTAGGAAAGGATTTATAGCAGTTTAAAAGTTGAAATGCAGATAGAAATCATAATGTTCTATATAGAAGAAAAGTGAGGTTTAAGGCAGAGTTTTTTCTTTTATATCCTGTTTTTATATTTTAATTTGCGGATCATTCTGAAGGGCATCATGCTTGTTTATGCGTTGATAAAGGAAAAATAACCAAATTGCTGCATCAGTTGAAATTGGTTTCTGAACTAAAGTGGGTAAGGAAAACAATTAACACACAAAACCTTCATAAAACCCAAACCATTTAGAACCCATTCTGGCCTGGATTTCTTGATCAGTTAGTCCATTATTGGGCTTATGGATATACAATATAGTTTAACCCAAAGTCCTAAACCAATGTCATACATGAAGCAAGCTAACCAAACTAATATTGGTGGGATTGGATTGCAGTTATCCAAAAGCCAAAATTAAAGTAGATTAGGTTAAGGCAACTACAATTTAAGCCAGATGTCAAATCTAACCCATCTTATGACTATCTAAATTTAAATTAGTTGATATCCATGACCTATGCTCATTTCGACGTTGGGCCTTACGGCTTATGAAATTGTTAATTTGGTACTACGAAGTCAGAACACTCCTAGGTAAAGGAAAAACCGGGTGATCCTTTGAACCAACCTGGAAGTCCGTTTTTTATTTTTATAATTTATATGTAGTCCTTTTTTTTTAATCTTAACAAGTTTTTAAAATTTCAAATTAGTCCTGGATCATTGATGATGGAAACTGCCACACACGAGAAGCGAAGCACAAACAGTGACCAGCCACCGTCGTCGGCCGCCATCCCCCACCATGATTAAAGATTGACAAGACACGTGGAGACGAGGATGGATTGATTTGTGGCATTTTTATCATCAAAGGATGTCGGCGACATTGACGACGACACCATCAACTTGATCATCCAAACAGAACGCCAACGCCACTATTTGTACATACGTATTAGTTTCATGTGTACCTGAAAATTAATTAGGGAAGACATCGAATATACTTTGACAAGTCATTCTTTGATAAGATAAAATAAATGGTTCGAAAAACAAAAGACAACTTATTTTGATAAATAATGTAGCATAACCATGATTTAAAATTGGTTATTGAATTAAATAAATGAGTAGAGACTACTCATTTATCTAAATAAAAGTTCTTAACTAAAAAATTCTAATTGTCAAGTGATTTGCTACCTCGAAGTCAAAATTTGAAATTGACATTTGAGAGGTGCAAAGACAGATGTTCTAAAATTAGAAATAAAACATTATGCCTTTTAAATGAATAATATATAAAAAAAAATTATTTTTACTACAAAAAAATATTTTCTCGTCACATTCATATAAAAATGAGTGAATACTATATTATAAAAAGAAGATAGAAAAGAAGTTTGTGAAATTTATTTATTTTTATATGAACGTAAGGGATAAATAATTTTTACCACAAAAATACCATAAATAAAACAAGCTAATACAACTGTAGTTATTTCAGAGTAATCAAAGTTTGATTAATTACAAGCTCTGTCTCCCTACCTTCCAAGCAGATGCAGGCGAGTTGATTGAAGTTAGACACAACAAACTGAACAGTAATCAAACTATCCAACGGAGAAAACAAAAGGGAATAAATAAAAAGTTGCCGTCCTATCATATCATCATCATAGACCATACAGAGTGAAACCAAAAGGCAAGTTTGAAAACACAAATAGAAAAAAAAAAAAAATTATTATTATTATTATAACACACTTGTCCTCATGCAGGGAGAGAATCAACAGAGATGGTCCAAACAAAACAACCCAAACCGAGTGCCGATAACTTGATAAAGCATTTTAGGAATTTTATTTCATTTTCACATAGTATAATTCATGAATTACAAATTACTTTTCCAAATACGCATATATATATTTTTTTAAAAATAAATAAATAAAGAAAAGTAAATAGAGTTCACGTGACTATTATTACATCCGTATCTGTAGGCATATATATATATACATATACATACTGTGCCCGCGTCTGGTAGCTGCAGTCACTCTGAAACTGAATCCCCCACCCGTCTTTCACCACTCACACTTTTTCAAATTTCTTTTTTAAAAACTTGAAATTTGGTCCTTTCTCTTTCTCTCTCTCTATAAGTATAAAGAAGAAGAATAGTAAAGGATTGGAGTGTACACAGGGGCCAACAGGGTCAAACACGCCAACCAGCCCATCTTCTCTTTTCTCTGTGTGTGGCCCAACTTCACCTGTTCCCTGCAACTCAGACACCCTTCCACGTGGGAGTCTCTGTCACTGCACCAACCCCAACCCCCCAATCCTTCCATCCACTCACAATACGCCAACTCATCAACCGTACCCTGATCCATTCTCATCATATCCTCACCCACCCCCTTTCCCTTTCCCTTTCATACGTCAACTCAAATTCCCATAAATCTCTTTAAATCTTTATTACATCCTCCCCCTCCAATAATAACATCATTTATATTATTCAACTCAATCCCCAAAAAAACATTAATTATTAATTACTTAATTAATTAATTAAAAAAATTTAAAAAAATGTCAGGCGCCGTTCAGCAAAACGCCGTACAACAACATCAGTAGGGCTTACGTCACTCGGACCCACTCACATGATAGCTCCCCCTGCCCAACCCACACGTCTTATCAGGCGGCGGCTCTCTCCTATTGAATGGGGTCCCACAAACTTTCTTTCTTTCTCAAACCCTCACATCACATCCGTCCGATCACACGCTGCATTGTTCGATCAAAATCAACGGCTCTCGCGATTTTATCCAAATTTTTCGGTTCGCAGGTGGCGTTAGTGTATAAAAAAAAAAAACCAAAAGGCAAACAAAAAGAGAGAAAGTGAGAAAGTTAAGGGTCGTGCCGGCCAGCCGACAATTACGGGAGGTTATGTGGGTCCCTCTGCTTTTTATATACACACACTCACTTCTTCACTTTTCTTTCTATCTCTAAACTAAACCACTTCGGTTTTTTTTTTTTTTTTCCCTTTCTTTCTTTCTTTCTTTGATGTTAATGGCGTCTTCGTCTTCTTCGGCTTCTCGCGAGGGACACTACAGAGGGGTTAGGAAGCGACCATGGGGACGCTACGCAGCTGAGATACGCGATCCTTGGAAGAAGACTCGTGTTTGGTTGGGTACATTTGATACTCCTGAGGAGGCTGCGCTTGCATACGACGGCGCCGCTCGTTCCCTCCGCGGTGCCAAGGCTAAAACAAACTTTCCTCCGGCGCCGGTTGCCGCCGCTGGCCTCTGCCTCGACCTCAACGTCCCTTCCTCTGATCACCGCTGGCCCTCCGTCCCTTCCCGCAGTCTCGTCCTCAGTGAGTTTCTTCACACCGCTGGTCCTCCACCTCAGCCTCCTCCTGCTGCGGTGGCCAGTCACAGGCGCATCGACGGCGCTGTTGCTGTTGGCGGTGGAGCACAGATGGTGGAGAGTTCCCCGACGGCGTCGTTTCTGGGACTCATTCGGCGCGGGATTCCCATCGACTTGAACGAACCTCCACCCTTGTGGCTATAGAGTATTATAAAATGAGATCCTGTATGTTAGGCTTAGCACGACGTCGTTTTTATCTAATTAATGTACCCCAGTTTTTCCCCTCTCGTCATGATTATGTTTCGTTTATCAGCGTTGTTCGTTTTCATAGAGGGTGGAGTAGTGTGTATCTTAGTATCTCTGTCTATGGGATGAGTCTATCTAACATTTCAGATAAATGAAAAAATCTATGATATTGTATATACATTTATTTATTTATTTATTTTTCCCGTATTATTGTTGCTACGAGTTTTGTTCCATTTAGCTAGAATTGTCCTTTAATAAATTGTGTTATGCGCGGATTCATACCCGATTTATATAATATAGCTTTATTTGTTAGACCCATAAATAATGATAATGATGATTGTTTGAAATAAAAATGGTCGTGAACGAACACCTTATCTGGTTCAAAATCTATTATTAGTGGTTTGGTGCTTTTGGAATGTTGGGCGGCGTGGTAGACAACCGACGACGGATTGACAACCGTTGATTCGATTGGGACCACCTTCGAAAAAGAAAGCTGCGAGTGGTTTCCACGCGCTATATTAACGGGGGTGGGGACTGCTTTTGTTGGGTTTTCTGGTGGGGAGCGGGAACTGCGAAGCGAGCGTGTGGGTATCAGTATGATGGCATTCCTTTTCTAGTCAAAGATCTGGTTCTTATCATTTTAGCAGCGTATGCTTTCCACCTCTTTTAGACCCATTCGCCATCCAAAGCGCGTGTTTCTTTCTGCACTGTAAAACTACGTACTTGTATATCGTTTTTATACTTGGTATTTTTTAGATTAGCTTCTTTCTAGAGAATCAGACTCGTGCTTCACCGATAGTTTATAAATATTTTTGGAATTCAATATTTATAAATTCATATCAGAGCCTTAGTTATTGTGTAAAGGGCTTTATTAACAACCTTGAGGTTACCACTCCAAAAGTTACCACTCGTGCTTTTTTTTTAATTTTATTTCCATTTTTTTTAAAACGGGAGACGGTGAGGCTCTGATACCATGTAAAGAACCTTAGGATACACTACCTCAAAAGCTAACTCAATGTTCTTTACTGGCTTTCTAACTAGTTTCGAAGTTTTTTTTTTAGATATGTAATTATGACATATTCTGGATTTGAATGTAAGTTACACGTAACTGATGCTATAATTTTGAAACAAATTGTTTTGTTTTTAATGTTGTAAATTTAATCGTGGAGATACAAGTTAACAGAAGAAAAATTTACAAGAGGCACAATGTTTTTACTTGTTCAGAAACTTGTTATTAGCAAGTTTCCTACATCAAGGACAAAGGGCTAAAATCCCCTTTATCAGCTTCCATTAAATCAGAACCCCAATACAATGTGCAAATAACATAAAGCATCTACAACTCAGAATCAAAAGCAACACTCTAAAGAACAACACCTAAGAGATCTAAACATGCATCAGAATACAAGAACGAAAAAGAAAACACACACTGGCATGTAATATCACACAAAGTGTCAGATACCCATGGACCAGTTGAACCAGTGAGCTCCTACGATCTTGGATTAAAGCCACCAAGTCCCGAGCGAACAACCCAGCCGCTCCTGATCTTGATCTTCAATCAATCCTAGAAAGAGACCAAGAAAACAGAGGTGCACACAAGGAGAAAGAGAAGCACACAGGTAATCACAAGATTAACCAAACCGAAAGGGTGATTTCTTGATGAAATCAGCAAGCCCTATGATAGGGTTTCAGAGCGCTTTTGAACGAGAGAGAAAGACAAAGAGAGAGAGATAAATCGGGTAGGAAGCTTAATGAATAAAAGGAAGATCAGTTTTGTATATATATATTCAATACACAAAACTGTAGCATTAAAACGTAAACGACACCAAAAGGAACAAAACGCAAAAGATTTATAAAAAATTACTCAATAACCCCTATTTTAGGAATACCAATGAAGTCCACAATTAAAACACTACGATTAATACATTATCTTTACATATTTATATTTGTATATTTTGTTATCTAGTGTAAGAACGATGTATTGACAATTGTGTAAATAATGTTATAAAAATTAATATTTTTTTCTCTAAAAGTACACAAACATATTAAGCATTAGTTTTCATATGTATTAGAAGGCTATCACAATAAAAGAGATTTGTAGGGGAAATAAAGGAGATATATGTTAAATAATCTTTATTTATTCAATTCAAGTCAAATAGTATATAATAGACATATAAATATAAAATTTTAGTGTTAAATAATTATAAAATTATATATTTACTGTTATAATATCTTACAATTATCTAAATAGTATTTCATTATGTCCTGTTAGATTTGTAACTCTGCTAAAACGAGTCGTGTTGGGTTAGGAAAAATGAGTTATTTTTCGAGCCAATCTTAATCCGTCTCATTTTTTTTTAGTTGAACGCGGGTTGGATCGAGTAGAACCGTTTTGCCAACCCTATATCGTGTATTAGAGGACAATAATTTTTATGTCCCAATGGGTGTTGGCGAGACCGAGAGCAATAAAGTGTGGGAGATGGGTCAACTCTACATTCATGGAACCTCGCATTTTGTGCTTCTGCGTTTTGGATAAGCAGCACAATTAGCGAAATAATTAGTTTCTTAATTTAATTGAATGAAAGAAAGTACGTGTGTGAAAGTTGATATGCTATGCCAAACTACTATTTTGAGGAATCAGGCGCGTGCGCATTATTAATATTCCGTTTTTAAAAAGTTGTGTTTCTCTATGTCCATGCATGGTTCATTTTCTAGATTTCAAATTACCCTACACGATTATTTATGGAAAAAATATTTGTTATTTTAAATAATATAAAATTATATTATTTTATATTCTTTCTTCTCTATTTTTTTTATTCTAATTTTATAAATTCAAAAAATAACAAAACATATCAAAATAATATAATTTTATTAAAAATAATACAAAATTATGTCATTTAAAATGACAAACACTAAACTTTTATTTATCACTTATATCTTAAAAAACTATTGGTTTGTACAGGAATTTAAGGAAAGTTTTTTAATTGATATTACTAAATTTTAAAAACAGATTTAACCATATAAAGTTAAATAAAAATTTGCATGTATAAAAATAGGGTTAAGTGTTTGTCCTTTTAAATGATACAACTTTATGTCTTTTTTAATGAAACCACGTCGTTTTGGTTTGCTTTGATATTTTTTACAGTTTCTTTTTTATAAAATAAGAAAAAAAACAAGTGGAGGAAAGAGAATGTAAAAAAATACTAAAACGACATAATTTTATGAGCTTTATTAATATCATGCAATGATGCAATAGAGATAATCATGTGTTGGACCCACCCACTATAGAAAAAGAAAATAAAAAAATAATACGGAAATCAATGTATGTGTAGGAGAGAAAAATTATCTACTACAACATAAGAGTATATTTTATCTAATTTTATTAAGACTAACATAAAACTGAATAGTTTAAAATGACAAATATTTTTTCATAAAAATATTATTACAACCTTCTCTTGCGCTGTTCTGTTTTCCATTTTCATTTCAGTCATACACTTGAAAAACGAGTAAGAGAAATGCATAGTTTACTGGAAAGATTTGGTGAAGGCAGAGATAATCTGTCCAAATTAGTGAGTTTATTTTTTATTCAGCTTTTCAGAATTTCATTGTGCCTGAGTTATTGTTACCAAACAGTAGTAACTGTTGTTTGGAATGGTCTTAACACTGTTAGACTAAAATGGGCACTCAACTTTGTCTTTTCTTTTGCCCCCCCAACTCCTTTGTGGCCAACAATTGGATTCCGTTATTATTAGTTGTTTATAATCCCCTTTCTGCCTTCTTTGACATTAAGAACCATATATCTGTAATTTATGTTTGTGATTTATTTTTTTATATAAAGTTTGCGATTTTTTTAAAATACGACAACAAACTCATCACACAATAAAAAATAGTAATCAATTCAGTAAATTGTTTAAAAGTTCAATTTATTTTATACTTCTTATTGTAAAAAACCTATTCTTTAACAGGCCATCTTTAAAATAATTTTCCATCTGAAATTTTATTGTGTAAAATCTTTAAATAGATTTCCTTGTAATTTTCATTAGGAATAAACAGATTTATCATGCGTATTAAATTCTAGGCATGACTTCTTGTTCTAAATTTAACAAAATAATTTACCAAAAATAAATAAAAATAACAAAATTACTTAAAATCTAATGAATTTCAACAAAAAATGTAAAACGGCTAGTTTACGTCATCAACACATCAAGGGAAATTTACACAACTTTGAAGTTTACATTTGCATTTGCATTTATCTGAGTCAAACAGTGAACACATTTCAGCGTATGGGTGTGTGTGACGGAGGGAAATGATTAAATGAAGGAGTGATGCTGTTGAAGGGCATTGATTGTTCCCTTGCGGGGGAAAAGGTGGCCGTCCTCACTTCCCTTTTTGCACCATAAAATGATTTAACTTTTGTTGAGTGCCGTTAGAATATTTCTTAAGAAGCATTTGTTTTTTTTAATTACTTTTTTATTATTATTTAAATAAGTTAGTATTAATTTTTTTTTTGTATTTTTAATGTAGTAGATAATTTTTTATTTATTTAACCAATCTAAAGTACATTTATTATCATATTTTTATAATATTAAAGACAGAAATGTTTGATTAATTACCTTACAAATATAACAATATTAATATTTTCTTGGTACATCGTGTTAATTTACTATTGAAGTTCACATCATGTAATAATATAAATTTTTAAAATGAAAGTATATTTAAAAAAGTTAGCTAAATACCAGTATAAAATTATTTAAAAGTATTAACACTTTCTTGGCTTTAAACAAAGAGAAAAGTGTTTATCCTTTTAAATGACACAATTTATATTATTATAAAGAGGTGAGACCCACACATTTATTTATTTTTTGTCAACTCTCTCTCCTCCTTTATCTATCTCTTTCTTTCTCTTAAAATAATACAACTTTACATCTTTTAAAATGACACACTCTTTTACCCGTAAACAAGAGAATTCATTTTTCTTTTCAAGGACTAGTAGGCTCTGTGAAGCTGGAACTAATAATTTATTTTTTTAATTCAAGTGACCTGAAACATATTTTTACCGTAAAATTCAAAAGCATTCTTTAATATATTGTA